CTTTTGAATGTTTATAGCTCTGCAGTAAAAATAAAAAATCTGCATTGAACAAATCCGTACATCTCCGCTTTGTATATCATATTAAGCAGGCGCTTAAGCAATCCAGTGGTTTAATGGTTTTGGCAAACTGTTAAAATAGCTTTATTTGGCCTTAACTATCAGAAGATGATTATTAAAGAAAACAGCCAAGGAAATGTTGGCACGTGGAGAGTTAGCTAACCGGATTAGATGGGGACAGGGAATGAAATGACGATTTCCTGTCATTCTCAGGAGTCGGTTGATCCACATTCTTGATTTCTTGAAAGAAATGTGAACTCAGCCCATGAAAAATTAAAAGTTAAAAGAGTGGGCTGGCCCACGTTTGAATCGCTGAAATTAGTTAGAAGACTTCAATTTCCTTTTGGGCTTGGTAAGGTCCAAGCCTAATAGTGATCGACCCAATAATCCACAGATGACCTGACCCCGAGTCCCCAACCATTGCTAGCCGTTGGTCAACAAGGCTCATTTGGACCATTGAAATATTCTCCGCTAGACTTTCTTAGGGCTTTGAACTATTTTTTGGCGGGACTGATCAATCCACCTGTTTCCCGGGCTTGAAGTTCCTAAGCCCAATCTGATTCCAATATCAAGGCTTGATTTGGGCCTCAGGCTCAGGGGATCGGTGGTCGCACTTTGGGTTCCACAAAATTTGTCATGTGTAATCAGGTATTTTATATTTAGAAGATCTAGACCGTCCAAAAAATGGGTCCCACTTAAGTGATTACCTGCCTACACAGCTTACCAATATTAGATATACCTATCAATTATAGCATTATTAAAAAGCTTTTTGTGTATATGTGTTTGTTTGGGCTAGGGTTAGTTATTCTAAACTCAGGTTCTAAACCTTGCAACTATGGGTGCTTTGCACCAAAATACATTATAAAACATGCATTCATTCAAAGATTTAGGTGTTGTTTGGTAAATCTTTTTAAGTATATCTTTTAATAATAGTACAGTAGTCTTGAAAGACGGATCGAGTTTTTTGGTCTTATCTTTTAAGATCAGGTTATTCTGTAAGTAATTTAATTTCTCGGGCATTTTTATGTACAGAAAGACCAAAATCTTCATTTGAGGCTTTCCAGTTTTTGGCTCTTTTGACCTTTTAACATGTTTTCCCTTTGGTCTTTTGAACTTCCCACAGACTGAATGATGTGTGGAAAAGATGACTAAACTTCCTCTTAGAATTTTTAAGGCAATATTCCGTCTATAAAGATCAGCATTACCCAAGCTGACAGGTGGCCAAGGAATAGAGTTTAAATGGAAAAACCAGGAACTGGTCACCTAAACGGTTCCATTTCACCCCAAAATCGTTGATTTGGTCAATAAACCATTGATCTAGACAGTCAAACCATTGACCCGGACAATAATTTTTGGTTGTTTTTTTATTTTTTATTATTTTTTGTCAGAACGAATCGTCCATTTGGATCAGACAGTCAGACTGTTCAACTCGATAACTGATCTCAAAATAGTTTCCTGTCCGGTCTGATTTTAAAAATCTTAGTTTAAATGGTTAACGGAAACACAACTAAGGTTAGATTAGATGTTGTTTGGTTTTACAAGTCAATTTGTATGAAAAAATTGCTCAGTTTTCTCTTCCACAGAAGACACACGTAGGAATCACTCTTCCCCACTTCAGTTATTTATTTTTTCCGGCCTTGAGGAGAAATCCATTTTAGGTGGAATTCATGTATCTTTTCTCTAAAGCTAAACTTAATTATTTTCTAATTAAGACAGTACGTAGTACAAATGCAACGCCATTCTCATTACGTTAACAGGAAGAAAAGCTATCAAGCTGAATATATATGGGCGATTCCTTGCAAGTCTGGTCTTCTGGGCAGCCGAACCATGTTTGTCTGAACAAGAAATTTTGGAGGGAGAAGACAAGACCTTCGATTCCGTGTGGATTAGGTTGTTTTTGTTTATGCCCTCAAGTATTTCTCAGTTCTCACGTTGGTAGAATTCTGTGCTATTATTCTGCATCCAAATATAATATATATTATATATATATATATGCCACGTGGCTAAAGAAGTTCTAATCACGTATTTTTCTGCATCCAAATGTATTTGATGGTTAATAAGCAACATTATCATCTTCCTCTTTCTTGTATTTTTTTTATTGGTTAGTGACATCATATAAATCAGGATGATGACCATGGGAATTTGGCAAAAGATTTAGTATCAGCTGCCAACCCTCCCAACTTATTAAAAATGAGAAAATGGAGAATTGGCCGAAAAGAACATAAATGAAAGTAATAAGAAATGATTTAAATACTTATAATTTAATAATAAATATGACACTCAACAAAATAAGATGGCTTAACAAAATTCATATCACTGATCCCAAATGGTTGGAAAAAGGCTTAGATGATGACGATTATTGACATCATACAAAAGTAGAATTGAACTTAGTCTGGTAGAAAATGAATCCAAATGAGTCCAAATTGATTTGACATGAAGAACTCTTGACAAAATTGAGATCAAATTTATAGTTTTCTAGAAATTCTCAATAGACCATATCTATTTGGGGATTGTTATACATCCATGCTCGTTTCTTTCTATGAAATCAAATGGCGTCTTTGAGAAGGGAATACTGGAAATTTAGTAGTGTGATGGATTTGTTCCTTACAAGGGCTGCTAGGAAATAAATTAAATGCTCATTTGGAAGTCTTTAATGCGGTGGCTTTTGGTGTTACATAATTGAAAAACCCGAAAAGTCATGAAGCCATATTTTGTAAAAGTTTGGAAGTGAGCTAAAAATTTGACTTAAACTCTTTAGGTAACTTATTTGAAGCATCCCAGTCAATGCACCTCAATCTATGCAGAAGCTAGTCCTCCGAAATACCCATTTAGGAGGGAGCTAGCCTAGCAGCTTCTAGCTTTCCAAGGTGGATCCCATATGAACAGCTAATAAGCCATGTTTAATGAAAAATCTCAAGAGCCCAAATCTGCCGTCAGTCCCCTACAACTTCTTCGAATGGTTTATTAGGAGAGCTCAAAGCAACTTAACTAGCTAGTTTTAACTAAATCTTCAACTCAACCCTTCTAAACAGCATGAAGAGCTTGTGTTCAAGAAAAAAGGCAGGCTTTCCATTGGCAATGGGGTTGATTCGAGGCGGGGATCATATTTTCCATCTCTGTTCCCGATTCTGAAATTAACTCCATCCCCATTCCCGATTCTCGCGGGGTATAAAATTTGTCCTCCATCCCTGATCTTCAACAGGAATGGGTCTTTTGCGGGGATCCAAATCCTCAAATTTCTTTTAGATAATAGTTTTTTTTGAAAATAAATAAAAATTTTAAATTATAAACAATATTTTAAATATATATATATAATCGGGATCGGGGCGGGGCCCCACCCCCCAATCCCCATCCTTAACCCCATCAGGTCAGGGAAATCGGGTCCCCGTCGAGGATGGGGAAAATTGCCATCCCTACTCGTGACAATTTTTTCTGACTTGTGGGAATGGGTCCACATATTTTTATTATTCTTCATCTTTTTAAGTTTCAGCCATTTTCAGACAAGCTGGGCCAGGTTTTAGATCAACCGAAACCCAACATAAGAATTAGGCCTCCTAAGTCCCAAGCCTGAGGTCAATCCTGAATTATTCAACCCGAACCTAATCTGCCTTAAAATTTGATGCACTCAAGTTGGGTTAAAATCAGGCTCAGGTTGATCAATTAGTCACACTAAAAATTAATTTACATGCAAGTGTAGTGGGTTGGGTTGGAAATCCAATCCCAGTCTATGTAAAATTGCAGGTTGGGTCTCCAAAATTGCACCCCTAAATAACATAAAGTAGGGTTAATTATTTATACATACCCTATATATTTGAATATATTTAAGAAACTACTTATATATCCTTAACTTTTAAAATCAACTTAAATGTACCTTATCAAGGTTTAGTCTGACAGATAAGATTTTAAAGCCAAAAATACCATTAACTGTTCATTAAATTTTCAAAATATGCCATTTTCTTCTTCTTCTTTTTTTTTTTTATTTTCTTCATTAAATGTTCAAAATGTACCATCCCGCTACCATGTTGCCATCACTTCAAATCCCAACCTAAATAATTGTCCATCCCACCAAGAAATCCAACCAGGCCCATCTGGGTATTCTTCAGTCCAGCATGTGTCTGTCCAAGGTTTTGATCCAGTCCCATCTGGACACCCTTCGTTCTAGCATGTCTTGCACCAGGTGAACCAGGGGTTGGACACACCTGAAATGCACCATGAAAGTCATCACCACTGGTGCGGTTTTTATACAACAATTGCAGTGTTCAAGAAACTAGAACTAATTAGATATTGTCATCTCTGTCACCTGCTTTCCGTTCTAGAAAGTTAATCACCAATAATGTAACATAATGAATACTGAACTTAATCACCAAATACAACACCGGAGGCCTTATTACGACAAAGTTAATACGAAGACTTTTAAGGCCTGGTATGTTTGCTGTGTGTGATTTCATTTGCACAGGTGTAAAATTATAGGAATGGAACTGATTTAAGTGTAAGTTGGGATTTATATTTCTTTAAGACTTTACCTTGTTTTGTTTGTTTGCATATTGCAGATGCAGTCAAATAAAATTTGAACGAAACGGAGCCTACGAAACATATCCGAAGGAATTTGACGTATAATTCTCAGAAAATTCATTGATAAATAAATATGGTAGATTTCATTTTATTCTTTTTCTATTTGGTGGGGTTTATTCGTTTGGATCATAACTCTGAGCATAAACACGTAAGTAAGAATTACGAAAATAAGCTTTCTTAGAAATATATTTACGTATTAGTAAGGCCCAGGTACAACAAAAATGTTATACAGTGGGTACATTATTAGTACAAAATATTCCATTTAATTTGGTCTTTATTGGAAGATCAAGATCGATCAATCCCTACTGCAGTAGGAATCTTCATCTGACCCAGACATGGTGCAAATAAGACATTTGCATGCACTTATCAATACAATTTATAACAGAGCCAAAGTCTGTGAAATCAAAATATATCTATCTTCCCTTGAGAAAACTCCTGCAAATCTTCTCCAAAGTCTTCCTGTCAGGTTCAGCCATCTCAACCCTTGATTTCGTAAGCTCAGAAAACTCCTTCTGGCAATTAGTTAGTTAGCAGAGGTTTAATTAATTAGATGACTAATTATTGAAAGGAAGTTTCTCAAGGAACTAATTAATTATGAAAAGCTATATATAAACATTGATCTATATAATAAGCAGTTACCTCTATACAGTTGTTGTTAGCAAGACGATCAATGAGGTTATACAAAATGTCTTTGGTGTACTCTGGGTGGCCTTGAATTCCTAGTATGTTGTTTCCAAGTGTGAACATCTCCACAGCTGTCTTGTCTGAGGAGGCAATCACCATTGCTCCAACAGGGACCTCCCATACCTGATGTTCATTTACAGTTTATAAGTTGATGAGAGAGATCTAGAGAGAGAGAGAGAGAGATGAAACATACTTCATCTTGATGGCACTCGATGATGGAAAGAGAAGGAGGGATTTCCTTCAGACCACCAAGAAGGCTACCCAGTTGCAAATCCTCCGCCAGTTTGACTTCCCTCAGCCCAATGTCCCAACCAGTATAAGCTCTTCCTACCTTACCACCCAAAGCTCGGCACAAAACCTAAAAGTAACGAAACAAAATTTTAAAAGAGGATAAACAATAAGACTCACAGAGAGTATAAGACATTTGGAAATTAACATACTTGGTGTCCAAAACATATCCCAAGGACATTCTTATGCATAGCGTACAGTGTTTGTATCAAGACACAAAGTCTCAAGACCCAGGAGTCATTTCCATGAGCATCACAAGGGCTCCCACTGATAACAAAACCATGGTACTTGGGAAGCTCATCAAAGTCAGGGAACTCTCCATCTACAACCCTGAATAAGTCCCACTGCTCTCCTTCTCCCCCAAATGCATCAACAAACACATTGAAGTACCCACCATACACCTTCTTCACGTAATCAGAATCCTTAGCTGCTAATAATAGAGCGTATCTCTTTTCCCCAATAACCTTCATTTTCAGTTTTGAAAGAGAAAGAGAAGTAAGAGTCTTTTGAAGATGATTGAGAACCTTGAACAAGGAGAAGAATAATGGCATATTTATATGAGATGATTTCAGGTCTGCAATAATGAAGTAATTGACCAGAAAATATACATTGAACTTGCTTTTCCCTTGGTTATAACCAACTTTTAATTGTTTAATATATGTTTCATTAACAAATTCATTAAGCTTATTTTAACTTGTGTAAAATAAGATATAATATCTTGTTTCTGGGTCGTCTAGGATTTGTAGAAACTGTCTTGTTAATTTCCAACATATATATTAACTGTTTATAACTCCAATTTTCGTTGGTCGTGTGGCTCCCATTGAATGGGTCCAACCTAACAGATTGACTGGACAATTAGCTTGATCATGAGCAGTCTTTTTACTGTAGACTTGATTGCTTGGGAAGGATGGATTAAATAAATGTCGTTTTGATGAGCAGGTTGTAACCTGCCGTATATGAAATTAAGTTTTGACTTTACTGAATATATGAAACTCTCTCTCTCTCTCTATCTATATATGTTTCACATATTATGGACTCTCCAAGTAATTTATTCCTTTTTCAGATTGCCAAACTACTCCAACTTTGGCAGGATATTGGATGGGGTTCAGTGAAGCTTGAAAATCGATCCTCTTCTTTGATCCAATTATTGTATTTTTTCTGGATGTGAAGAATGATGAAGTTACTACTAAAAAATTCTGAAAAAAGGGGAAATTTTTTTTTTGGCTTTTCAGACTGTAACTGGCCACAAATGCCCATCTGATGCCGTAGGCTCAGTTTGAAAGGAGTACAGATACAAATATGTAGGGTGCAAAACCTTGAATTTTGTATAATTTTGTATTGTATATATTTGTATTTGTACTGTTTCTAAACTGGGCCAAAAGAGTATAAATACAAATATATAGAGTGCAAAACATTATATTTTGTATGTATTTGCACCATACATAATTGTATCTATACTCCTTCCAAACTGAGCCTAAATTGAAAAGAAAAAATGGAGCAGTTCTATGGTGCAAAAACACATATTGAGTTGCAAATGTTGAACCATGGCCAATATTTTGCTGATTTTGCATCCAGCTTCCAGCCTGAGACTGTGTTTGGTTGCAATGCAAATAAATTTGCATTATGCAAAATCATGGCAGTGCAAATGATTTGAGTGTAAATTAAGACATGAAGCAGAATAAAGTAAAATCAAGAACAAAATTAAACAAGAATTTGCATTTTTTACAATTGCACTCCCATGCATTTATATTAATGCAAATAAGTTTTCGCTGCAACAACCAAATACAGCCTCAGGTGCAAAAGTTATAACATTGGTTTAGCAGGTATATGAGGTGCAATGCTATAGAGCTCATGGTGCATTTCACTGTAATAAAAAATGAAAAAAAGAACGAAAACTTGTTCCTATATATCATTGTGATAAAATAATTCATTTGACTAAATCCTACCCATCTTATTACGTATATATCTCTTAACAGAGATTAATTATTAAAAGCAAAAGGACTTTTACCAGCCCTATATTTGGATTATTATCATAACCCACCGTTCAGCGGGTACAACCATGGTGAAGATTAGTTGGTCTAAAGTCTCTTAATATAATTACTTGGAAAGTTGCATAACATTCTGTTAAAACTCTTTGAAAGTTCTAAAACATGAAGACTGAATCAGATGGCCAAAAAATCTAAAGTAATTTGGGCAATCCGTGGTCCATACCATGGTCTGAAAGCGTTGAAATCACCTTTTGATTTTCCGATGAACATGATGTTTACCATGTGTACATTGTCCCTTGAAATACCTCCATTGAAAAAAAATTAAAGACAACTTTTAACAGTTGTCAGAATATTTATAAAATGCTCATTGAATGTGCTTCTAAGGGTGTCAATGAACTGGCTTTGGATTGGATCCCGTCTAGTCCAAAATCAATTTGGACGGATTGGATGGACCAATAAGACATATTGGATTGGACCAATCTGGTCCAAAATATTTATTAGATTGGATTAGACCTGGTCCGTCCATAACAAATTTATATTGGATTGGGTTGGATTAAGTTAATATCTGGTCCATTAATATAAGACAAGAATATATGTGCCAATGAACCGAGTTTGGGTTGAAACCAATCTAAATCAAAATAAATTTGAACAGATTGGGCGGTCCAGACATTGAATTGGATCGATCCAAATTAGTCCAAATCATTCATGAGATTGGATTGGACCTGATCCATTTAAAAAAGATTCACATTGGACTGGATCAGGTTGGGCCAAATCCAGTCTAATTGAGACCCTTGTGTATTTCTTATGTTGTGCCTACTGGATCCAATCCCATCCAATGATGGGTCCTGAACTTCTCATATTTGCCACGTGCTAAGTTATGGGGACCCCAGATTGTCCATGCCTGAGCCAATCCCTTCAATAAATCGATCACTTGCTCTAGTGATAAATTAGTTAAATTTAATTTGTTTTTTTAGCTTTAGCTATATTAAACATCTACTACATTTGACAGGGACAAATTTGACCATAATCTTTTATGAATGTCAAACGACTCCAACCTATGTTTGAAACCGTGTCATGGATAGTTCTAGGCTTCTAGCTTATATTTATATATTTAAGACATTTAACTAGGTGGTCCTAATTGATGCTCTCTTCAGAGTTTGTAGTTAGAGAAGGTCAATACAAGCTTCTTCTTGTCTATAATTCTATATACTCTTCAGCCTTGTTGGGATTTCCTTAAAAGGACAACATAATTAATAATTTATTAAAGAATAAAATAGATTGTCAAAATTCCTCCAGTTATCGATATACATCTAACCGTCCAGGTGGAGAGAAGAAAAAAAATGAAAATTTAAAATAAAAAGCCATTGGCCGTATTAGGAACTGTGGCTGAACGTGAGTATATATATTCAAAGACTTTCTATTGATTATTAACAGTGAAAATAAAGACTTTGGAGTCCGGACTGATTTCTAAGTTCCATACTTCCATCCCATCAGTGATTAACACATTGCACAGCGAGTGTTTGGGGGATGTGACGTGCCAAATACTCATGTCTATTGAACAAAATTGCGGAAATTAATACCTAATTTCACTTTCAGAATGTATGGAACAAACACTGCTTACTTACTCTCTTTTATATTATTTTTTGATAAGTTTTATTTTAATATTAATTAAAGGGATGAAAAACAAATTGATTTTGGAATTTTTAGTGGTCATCCAACTAGACAACCAACAGGACTCGGCCCAACTACCCTCCTCCTTTCAACCCATAATAAAATAATAATTGACCATATTAAATACCCGACCCAGAAAGGATTAGACAAATTACTATTAACGGCCTAATTGTTGATGCCAAATACATGCATGTCGACCTTAGACTTCGTCTTAACCTTGACTGACTCTGGTTCACTATGTGACTTTTAATGTGGACAAAAACCTCTCCTTTTCTGCACCTTCTTCCATAGAAAATGTAAGAAGGAAAACGGGTCAGTGATTTGCCGATTGACATCATCTATTTGTCAGGCTAATTCCCCAATTTTCTTTTAGGCAAAATTTACAAAAACAATCCAAATGTAATCAATCCCATCCCAGAACATTCTGATTTTCTCATAAATGAATTGATAATGAACCCATCTATCTTCATCTTTCGGTAGAAAAAGAAAATGGAAAACTTAAAAAGATATCAGAACGGCCGTCTGGTTTCCGTGTAAAAGAACTGATAATTAGCCCATCTAACTTTGGTAAGAGAAACACAACAGTAATATAAACACCGCCAGTCAAGTTTTCACTAGGCAATGTTTTTTTTCTCTAAATTAACTAGAGGACCATTACCATTAGGTCCCAAATTTAATGTAGGGTTGTATTAGTAATTTTAATTCTTATGTTACAAAAAACCGTTTATGATTTTGACAGGGAAGGTTTAAGTCCAATAGGAACAATGAGGGGATGTTTCAGTATTTAAGAGAAACCTCAGGGGAGGGGAGGTTCAAGTCTTTTACTCTAAATAAAATGAATTGAAATAAATTTTTGATTTAAAACTAATTTCAATGAGTTTTGAATTTAGGACTCCTTAGTAAAATGCAATATTAAGTTGTCCTCATTGGTATAAGAAGTGATCTGTTAAAAGTTGAAAGGACCAAAAGAACCATTTTGAACTACCCACAAACTGTTTCCACATCCATACCCGCAAGGCACTACTATCGTGCATTCATGTAGACATGGATGTAAGAACTAAGAACAGATTGAAAAGGATTTGAATGGAATAATAAGAAATGAGTTAAGAACGATGAATATAACACTAGGATGGTGATAGGATTCATGTATTAATGGCGATGATGATCAATTGATATGATATGAAAATTTTATGTAGAAATATGAAAGTATATTTAAATGTTTTGCATGTGAGGTTCAAATTGCTTTAAGGTGGATTTTTAATCCGATCGACATTGACCCAATATGGAGCAAAAAGAAGTAAAATTTCAGGATGGTTTTATTGACCTATGACTAAGGTAATTAAGTATGGGGTGACCGTGAGATAACCTCTTTTCTTTTGAATGCTTTCAGTTCAAGCAAGCAAAAGCTTGAAAGCTAGCTCAAACCGTGGAGATTTCAATAGGCCAGTTATAAATGCCCCATTTAAATGTTTCTTGTTCTTCCATTAATACCTTCTAGATGACGGAAAACCCTAAGTAAACAAGTTCAGATATTGTTATAAAGATGGCACTACAGGTCAATATGGGAGGATTGGTGGTTACGGTTCAGAATAAATGAACTCAAGGCAAAATTCAGGTCAATATGGGAGTATGAAAGCTTTAAAGGCCGATCCGGCGGCATAATCGTTTTCGTCTCCAAGTTTATAAGTCAGCAATTTGACTGCCTGTATTGGATGGGTCAGATGGTCAGATCGTGACACACACAGGTGTACGTGTGCACTCATAAACTTGTATTATATTAATTAAATAATGTAAAATTATATATATACGGT